TGTCCAAAAGTCGAAGTTGTCCCAAAGCCAGTGCTGCCTCCAAAAGGCGTTCCGAAGGATTTGTTAAACATTTTCAGGATGTATCAGGTTTTTCCCCTAAACCTGGAAAGAAGAATTCAGCTTTTATTTAAAGCTTATCTCGAAAATTCATTTGTCATCTTCCTCACTGTTGATGTAAGCTGTCCACTTTGAGAACCTACGCCATAAAACGCACGACAGCACGTTTAAGTCACACTAATGAACACAGTCAGAACCCTAAAAGGGGCAAGAACACGAACACTTCAGCGACGTCAGGAGCAAGCTGCCTCCTGCCCTTCATTATGGCTGGGTTTTCTGTACCTCTTACGGACTGAAAAGGCTAACAAATAAACTACTCCCCGATCCACATGTTCTCAGCAAAACCCTCCCAAACTTCAAGCACTAACAGCACTTCTCACATCTGTTTCTGCCACGTTTGGTCCAGGCCAGGCAACACAAACTCATTTTTGCTCAGCCGCCTCAAGGCCTGAAAGACCACCCCAGCGGAACGCTTCCCTGAGAACACGTGCAGGGGTCTGCACCGCGCTACAGCCGCTCCTGCGACACTCCCAGGGTCTTCCACCACTGATTTGCTGTTAAACCCTCTCTGCCGACTCCTTCAAGCGAGACAAGCGCAAAGGCACTGCACAAGGATTGCAGGAATACACCTCCCATCTGCTTCCCGTTTGCTGTTCACGGGGCTGCACCGGGATTTTCTCAACTTTCTGAAAGTTTGTTGTTTTTAAATGCTTGTTCAGGGGAGTGTTACCCCATTTAGGCAGGGGCCCAGTTTACAACACCCATCGCTTTATTTACAGATACATTTAGTAATGCTACCTCGCTCCGATCCTTCTCCAAGTAAAAACACAGTGTGACAGCTTTTTTCAATAAACACAAGCAAGCTAAAATAAAACAACGACAGATCCTTAGCCGTGCTCCAGTCAGAGAAATCCGTAGCCTTTCTGTATTGGGGTTAACAGCCGTTAGCTCCGCCACTGAAAACGCCAATATTATCTGGAAAAAAATTCACTGCTGGCAGCATGAGCTAATCCACGGCAGTGCAGAACTAATAAGTTTAGAAAACTGTGAGCCATGGCCCATACCAAGCATGCTTACAAAGCGCTACTCGCTATCGCGTTACGATAACACTGTTTTATGTAACGGCACGCTAACTTTCAGCATTTCGGCGTTTCTTAAAGTCCGCTTAGGCTTTCCAGGAGGCTCAATGTCGAGGATAGCAGCAAACTCCTAGCAAGCATTCTCCACTCGGTCGCCAGCAATTTAGGTAAAACTCAAACCCCACAGCTTCACCTCTGCCCAGGCTTGACAGCTTCTCCCTAGCTCCCTCATTCCAACTCCTTTTACATCCCTCTCACCAAAGGGAAGCACGCACCCCGTGGTAGGCAGCGTACGGCCCAGCGCAGCCACTCCAGAGGGAAGTCACTAAATCTATCTGCCCGCCCATGAAATCATAAGCATTTGTTGTCCCCAAACCCCATACCACCTTCTGGGAACAGCCTGATCCAGACCTTGAGCAGTCACAGCTACCCACCACGCCTCTGCAGCCATCCCAGCGCTGCTGGGGACTGAAACGGGCAAGAGCAAATCAGTCCCCAACGCTCACATTCAGGAGTAACTAAAAAGATGTTTTGGGTAACATCAGCAAATCCAGCAGGACATCACCATTTTGTGGCACTAAGAGTCTTCCCGCTCACACATACGAGTCCTTGCGGACTTCCTTATGCATGTTAAGAGTGCTTTAAATAACATGATTCTGGTAAAAGAAAGAAAAAGCTGATCTGGCAAACCATCAGAGCACCCTCAGCCTAGAGCTGCCTCCTGCGAGAACACACTGCCCACCACGCCACAGGATCCTGGACTCGATGATCTTAAAGGTCTTTTCCAACCTAAATGATGTGATGACCCTCCAGTGGGATGCAGGGTAACACCACACCCCCAACACACCACAGCCCCCCTCTCCCTAAGGGGCTGCTCCCCAGCACCCCTCCACGCACCCCGCCCCCAACTGCAGCTCCAGCTCTTCCACAAGTGCGGCGCCAAGGCTGCTTCTTGTTTTCCAGCAGAAGCTGGCTCTGGATTGCAGGACAAAACATGGAGTCACCTCCCGTTAGCTTCCTCAAAATCCAACCTCTGCACTCCGGCTTGACCGTACGTGGCTTCCAAAAACATCCGCTGCCCCCGCCCACCTCCCAATACCCCAAACTGCACGGCTTGCCCTCGCTTACGCCGCACACCTACTAGCATGCCTTAAAAAAAAAAATCCCACCTATCCATAAGATAAATTTTATCCTGGTGCCAGTGCCCTCTTCCAGCTCCACACCCCCACCTCAGCCTCGTTCTCCTCTATCTCTAGAGGCTGTCTGCGATCATCGCGCTTTGCCCCAAGCGAGTCTCGCCCAAGGCCAGATAAAAAGCGTCCACACAGTTTTCAGTTGCTGTTCAATCTGGTTACTCCCAACCTTATTTGCAGTCCGCAAAACCCCTCTTTTCTTTCGCTGTTCTCCTTACTTATGCACTGCCTTTTCAGACTCAGCGTACTGAGGCTCGTTAAACCCCAAATTCTGCTTCAAAAAAACCTGGAAGCACAGTTTTCTGAAACACAAGCGAGTTATTAAAAGATTCCACCCTCCCATGGGGTCTGAAGCTTCGTTTTCCTTTGACACCCACCCTTCCTCACCCACCGCCCCACAGCGGCTCAGGCTCAGCCAAAACAGAACGCGGGGCTGATGCGGTCACCGACGCCGCGGACGCATCGGAGCCCCCGTAACCCCGGTCAGCGGCGGGGGGACACCGCACGCAGACGACGGGCTCGCGACCGTGCGTGCCAGACTTTGCGTTACCTG